CCCAAACACCTTTGTGTATGGGTTAGAGAAATCCATCTGCATGGCCAATGCCTCTGGCTACTCTAAGACTCCACTACTCTCCTTCCACTCTGGTCACTGCCCACATGATCCTGAGTTTCAGGGCTTTCTCATCAGTTTCACCCTGGTGTTCCTGTTGGTCATCTTTGCATTGCTTGGCTGCCCCAAATGGCCCTGGCTTCATCACCTCCGGACTCTATTTCATGCCTGGTGGTGGAAATTGGGTGGGCAGGGCCCCAGAGGCCAATTCCCCTATGATGTCTTTATATCCTACTGTGAGCGGGACCAAGCCTGGGTCCTGGAAGAACTGGTTCCTGCCCTGGAGAAGCCTCCTCCAGCTGGCGAAGGCTTGAGGCTATGCCTGCCTGAGAGGGACTTTGGGGTTGGGCAGGACAGAATGGATGCTACAGTCACCAGCATGGAAAGCAGCAGAGCCACCCTGTGTGTGCTCAGTTGCCAGGCCCTGGAAAGTCTCTGGTGCAATCTGGAGTTAAGGCTCGCCACCTACCGCTTGGTGGCCAAGCCTGGGACTGCTTGCCTCCTGCTGCTATTTCTGGAGCCTATCAATAGGCAGCAGTTAAGCAGCTACCAACGCCTTACCAGGTGGCTACAGAAGGAGGACTACTTCTATTTGCCCCAAGGGAGAGTTGAATGGAACACCTTCTGTGAGCAACTTCGGAGAAGGCTAAGGAAAGCTGGACTAGAGAGAGAGGATTAAGGACTGTGAGAGATTTGGCCATGCAGGAGTATCTCCCAGCAGGGGCCTGCATGCCATCACATCTGTTCAGCAAGGTCAGACTCACAGAGGGTGCCTATCGGCAGTGCTCATTTCAACACCACTTTCCACACTAAAAAGGAGACAGATGAAGACACCAAATTCCAATGGCAATACATATTTGAAAGCACCTGAAAACTCAGTATTCATTCAAAAACGAGTTCTGATACCTGCTGGTCCTTTCACAACACAAGGCATCCCTCCAGATAAAGCATACACAAAAATGGTTAGTGGAATCTCATGTGCACTTTCCAAAATGAGTTCATTCTGCCTCTGTTGAAAACAATGTATTCACTTGTTTGATAAAAAGTTATTTTATTCCAGAGGAATGAGGCAAGAATCACTGAGCTATTTGTCAGTACTCTGAAGCTAAATTGAAACCATGTTTGCAATTCTCCAAAGGGCCAACAAATCCAGTTTCCCTAACTCAAGAGGTTCTCACAGTAACAGTATTACATGGGTGAGAACAATAGTTTTAATCCTTTATCACACTGGGGGATCCTACCACATAAAAGTTAAATGATTTACCACCCTGGCACAGTTGGTGTATCAAAGTCTGGGTCTGTCTTCTGAGTCACAACCCAGTACTCTGTGCTGTCTACTGTATTCCACTTACCTCTAACCAGTGACAACTTACCTTGCTACAAAGTTAAAATAAGCAAAAATGGGGCAAATATCTTAAAGACACACATATAATGTATTTCCAAGAATATTTTCATAGATTCCAAGAAACTTTACATAAAATTATAAGTGCTCCCAAACAGAAAGATAAAGGACATTGATAAAAGTGGAATACTATGCACCCATTAAAAATCATGATTCAAGGAATATTTAGTGCTATGGGAAAAGACTCATGATATAATATTAAACAAAAGTTTTGACAAACTGCATGAACTGTAATTCCAATAATGAAAGTAACTTTATATGTATCTAATGTATGAAATATGTAGAGAGACAAGACTAGAATTGTAAACTAGAAATAGCCCCAGAAATGGAATTGTAGATGATTTAAATTTCTTATAATTTTCTGTTACCTGTTTTTTAATAAAAATAAGCATACGTTATTTTCATAATGATCAAAATAAAATGAATTATCTTTCAAAAATGAACACCTTCATGTAGACTAATTAGTTTAAATAATTCTCTGCTTTCTGTTGGCACAATATGAGCTTGGGAGAAAGTATAAATGCTGAAATCTGGAAAAAACACAGCAAATAAAGAGTAAAATGCCACCACAAACAAACTACATCTTTTTCAGACACTACCTTATTCAAATGAGCCAAAGATGACTTCTTTATATTGGCCTCTGTGTTGCTTACGTCTTTGCAGCAAGCTAAATCCTGTTAATCCAACAGCCCTCCAGTGCCAACATTTTTACATATCCAATCATTTTATGTTTTAGTTCAAATGAGCATATTTTAACCATTTAGAGCCTTCCTACTTTGCACATAGTGCCCAACATTTGCTAGCCATAGATAAGATAAATTCTGGGGCTGTAAAGACCAGTTGCTGCTGCCCTTTGGAGCTCTCTGAGACAGAATCCTAGCTGGGCTGCTGAACAACATCACTTAGACAAGTAAACCTCTCTGTTTCCCCTCTCCCCTAGGA